TCCCATACTTCTTCTTCTTCTTCTTCTGGATGTGTGTACAATTGCTGAAATGTTGGAGAACCGTAACTGCTCTTCTTCTTATTCTGGATGTGGGTATAATTGATAAAATGTTGGAGAACCGTAACTGCACTTCTTCTTATTATTATTCTTCTTCTTCTTCTGGATGTGTGTACAATTGATAAAATGTTGGAGAACCGTAACTGCTCCTCTTCTTATTCTTATTCTTCTTCTTCTTCATCTTCATCTTATTCTTCTTCTTCATCTTCGTCTTATTCTTCTTCTTCTTCTTCTGGATGTGTGTACAATTGATAAAATGTTGGAAAACATCATCATCACCTTCTTCTCTGGCCTTTCTAAAGGAGTGTAGGTTTTACTCTTCCTCTGCTTCCACCGGCGTGTACTACATCGAAAACTTTCAAAGTTGGAGTGCTTTCACCCACTTAGACCATATGAACTGGCCAATACTACAGCTGTTTCTTGATTCGCTGAACTATGTCAATATCGCCGCGCTAATAGCGATTCCCAACTCGTAGAGGTGACGGTGGTTTTAATCTTTCACACAATAGCCAATAAACCGGCTCCAATCGCTTTGATGTTCGTTGCATTTCGTAATGAAACGTCTATTCCAGCATCATCGACATCGATTGGGGTTTAGGATTCACTGCAATTCAGCAGGCTGGAGAAGTGTTCTCTCGATTAAATCAGTAGAATTTTCGAGCATTAGAAGAGAAGCAACAAATTTTTGTTTAATTTAAAAAGTTTTTCAAATGTTTGTACTGTGATGATCGGTCAAAGGTCTTAGCCCGCGTAAGTATCGACGACATGCCCACAGAAGAGCTCCACAACTGGTAGCCCTTTTACCTGTTCCATTCTGAGGGGCATAGAAGAGGACGGGGCATGATGCAGAGTCATATAGACATACGACTAACAGTAAGTTCTAGTAAATGGCAACTTTCACTAAACTTTATGTTATATAATGGGTATTAGGGTAACGAGTTGGCAAACTTTGGCATTCATTGAAGAGTCTCTCAACTATTAGACAGTTGCTCATCGCTGCTGCTAATTTAAGAAGGATGAGTCTGAATTGTTGCTTTTTATCTTTTGACAGCCGATACGCTGAAGAAAAAACAAAGTACACGGCAATTGTTGTATTTGTTCGCCTACTTTCACCTTTATGAATTTACCTTGGTCGTAACATATATACGGGTACGTACGTAGATCTGTACATAGACTCCCCATTCTCTTGGGGTACAGAAGTATGTGTGGGATGCGTTTTTTTTGAAAACCGCCAGACAAATCTGCATGTTGCCAAATGGCTTTCACTCTGCCTACACACTGAAAATGCCTCAAAGATTAAGTGTTGTGATCTCGGTTACTGTTATATTCATATGTGCATATGTATACATATTGTATAATTGGTGCTTTATAACCGCGGAAGTGATTTTGGCCGAGTTTCACCAACCAATTTATGCTGGCTGATTGCTTCTTCTTTTTTTTCTTTGAACAAATGGAAGAACTTACAATTTATCCTTAGTCGCCTCTGCACGACCGATGGATTTTGATCATTAGATTTTATGTCATGTCAGAATTATTGTTATGACTTTCCGAGCGGCGATGGCAATTAGGTAAATGAATTTAAAATTAGTTTTTTTATTTTTTGGATTTTGGTCTGGCCAACATTCGAACGCTTGACTTGCCGCGTGCAGTCGCTTTCCTCTTATTAACTTTAAACCATGATTTTAGCATGAAGTCAACTGAGAGGTTTCTGCTTTGATTTCTTATTTGTCACCATATGAACATGACACTAATTCATATACACACATATATACATACATACATACATACATATACACTCGAGCTGTTTTCAATTACTCATCCATTTCATAGGAAATTGTATCTAAATTCTATTCTGCCGTTTGCTCTTTATATTTTATTATTATTATTTTTTGTTGTCTTGCGTTTTTCAAAACAATCCTTCGCAACCACCTGCGCGCCAACCAATCTGACTTTACACTTACTGAGGGCGGTTTGTTTTCATTTAATTTCTTGTGGTTTACTTCGCCTTGTTAAGTGCTTGTTTTGATGTTAAATTGAAAATATATATATACGCGTATGTATGTATGCCGCGGTAGCCGAGTAATTAGCACTGCGGGCTGACATTCGGAAGGCTCGTGTTCATATTCCGGTGCCACCAACATCCAAAAGTTATGGAAAATTAATTTAAACAAAAATTTCGAAATTGCAGCCGCTCCTAGGCAGGGAATGTCCACCCCTCCGAGTGTATTTCGGACATGAAATAAAGGCTCCGAACCATCAGCCGTTCGGAGGCGGCTTAGTATAAACTGTAGGTCCCTTTATGTGTATCGGATCAGCAGTTACAAAGCATCCTTTTTTATATTTATCGACCGGAATGACCTTGTTGTTGTAGCTGTATCGATTTGCTAACCCCGGTTAGGAGAAAACTAAATCAGTCTAAGTTATCAGTTCATCTAGCGAGAAGTCCAGAAAACGACCAGACCAGGTTCGGACCAGAGACAAAGATGGTTTAGATGAGGGTTGGTGTTAAAAGGCATGCATAGGGGTGATTAGTGTCGTGAGTGTACTCATTGCATGCAAAACATTGGTTATGTCGCACTCAAGTCTGGGTAAGTAGGAGTTTAGTCGACTACAATATCCCGATCTATATTACGCGGAAGTCTCGGGGCACCTCCAGCTTTTCGTCTGTAATAGATGGAGGTTTAACTCCGGGAACGCCATTCACTGGAAGAAAGTTAAGAAAGGTGTTGACGAACTCTCACTCTCGCATTTAAAGCTTATTGGTAAGCCATCCAGTCTAGCCGCCTTACTGATATGTCTGAGTCGTGGTTCAACTTTAGTACGTGTCTTATGGAGCTCTTCCTATGATAGCATCCCAGCAGAATTTGCTTGCACAGCTAAGTATTTATGCTATGAGTTGAGGATGCTCTGACGATATCAGAAAGTTTCCCGACACGGAGGATGAAGATTTTTGGTCAGGCATGTATCTTCTTCATATATGCCTTACTAGTTCCTGGTCGAAAAGGCATAGTTTATGATGCCTTGTTTTTTACTTTTTCTCCGCTGCTGCAGCCTAACACTTTGAGAATTTTGTTGTGGCTCTGGAGTTTTACGGCAATTGAAGTCGTGTGCGGAGTGAAGAAGTGCGCGCTGTCGAATGTGACTCCCAATAATTTCGGGTTGTTTATAGTCGGAATTGAGTACGTACCGGCACTCCTTCGTCTATCTGCTGAAGATTTTATTTTTTGGTTACAGTTGTAATTGGCAGCCGCGATAGCCGAGCTCTGCATACTGCCATTCGGGAGACCAGGGTTCGAGTCCAGGTCCAACCAAAAAAATTCGGAGGCGGCTTAGTATAAACTGTTGGAAAAACATCAAGAACCAAAACCAAAAATTTGAGGAGCTTGGCTGCTTCAGCGGTTGCGAAACGACAATATATGTATATATAGTCATATATCTATATATCTATATAGTTGTAAATAGCTTGCAGTGAAAAAGTGGGAGAGGTCGTCGAGATGGCATTTCACTTTCAAACATATCAATCATCGGTATCGGAGATCAGTGAAACCTCTTCAGGTGGAGGGGGGAATTTCGAGATATACAATAAAAGTAGCGAGAGGACACCACCCTGCAGAACAATTAGTTTAACATTTCTGGGTTTGGTTGTTTCCCATCGAAACTCTACCGATAATTGACGAGCTTAGATGGTATTGAGGATTCCTCAATGTCCGATAGTAGCCCTGAATGATTGACAGTAACAAAAATCTTTGGACAGATCAAGTGCCAACAGGGCTTTTCGCACGCAAGGTGGGTTTTGGTTGAGGTCATTGACTATCTGGGTGTTCAGGGCGTGGTGGTATGCAGTTTTGGTGCTGTGCAGTTTACGGAAACCATTCTGATGTGCTGGTCGGCTCAGATGGTGTGTGAAAGTCGGAAGCTGCACGTTCTCAAAGCCCATATGAATTAAATATACTTTGTTGGCTGGTTTCCCTGGTTTTAACAGCGGGACCATCCTACACAAGTTGAGGATCTTGAGGACCTTGTTGAGAAAGTCGGCTCCCGCTGGTTCTAGAAATCCCCTCAAGCTACTCAAAACGGTGTCTCCGGAGTGGTATTTTATGCTTTTTGTATATCTAAAGTCACACGGAGCCCGATCAGATGCATTATGAGTTGACTTTTGGTGAAGAAAAGAATCAATGCAGCTTGAGACAATGGGAAAAGATACAAACCTTTCTTTGCTGACAGCTTGACCAGGCGGAAAGTTTTTGCATATATGCACAGATATATATTTTTCTTGTTTTCTTTTTTTCATCAAAAAATCATAAAAAATAACTTTAAACATTCTCACCACATTTTTCCGTATGTATGTATGTATGTATGTATGTATGTATGTATGTATATAAATACAAGTGGTTTCAAAAAATATTCAAGTTTCCCCAGCAGATATATTTGTAATTTACATATATATATGTACGTAAACGTACGTGAAAACATTTACCTTTAGAAAAGTTGCAGCATGGCATCCACATATTCACATATTCCAAGCGCCAATCCGGCCACCAGCAACAGCTCTAAATCATTATGCATACGTGTAGAAGCTTAATGAAATGAAGAGATTACCAGAAATCGTCTTTTCCATTCTAATTTTCCAATTTTTATTGTAGAAAAAGAGATTTTAAGTACTTATTAAACTTACTAAATTTATTAAACATTTTTAACTTCTTAAAGATGGCATATTTAAACACGTACAAATATAATATTAACACACATTATCCCAATAATTTATGTATGTAACTGAAATTTTGATATCTCATCCCAAAAATGCCAGTACAGTTAACAGCTACATGACCACACAGATGCAAATATATGTATGTATATTATAACTTAAGATGTTGTAAAATAAAAAACGAGAACGCACATTGTAATTAATTAGGCTAAAAAGGTCTTTTTTGTTGCTATTTTTCTTTTTTTTTGCTAAAAGCGAACTAAACAATCTTATTGTGCTTAATAACTATGCATACCTACATATATATGTATATATAAGATAATACAAATGACGGAACATAATAACATCACCATTCAAAAACCAATCTTATGCAACAATAGCTATGCACCAACACTACGCCTGCGTCTCCGTTTCGCTCACGCCTACAATACTCTGCATACTCGGCTCTGACTCTGATCGTTTATGTGTACGTTTCGGCACACCACATGGCTGTTCCGTTGGAACACCATCCTTCGTTGATGCATTGTTGGCACTTCGAGCGTTGTCATCTCGTTGCTGCGGTAGAAAAAGTTCGGGTTCGCTGCGAGCCAGCTCCTCTTCGATAAAAGAACTAGTATTCGACTCCAATACTTTTTCATTAAGGCACACATCATCTAAGTCAACATCACTGTTAGAGAAAAGTGCGGTCGCACCCAATTCAAGTGAATTTTTCATATCCAACTCTACATCGTTTGGGTTGATTGCTAAAGCGGAATTTTGTACGGTTTTCGGATTTTTAGGTGTTGAAGTAGAATTAAGTTCTATGGACTGTCCGGTAGTCACTGGCCGCTGATGACTATGAGTGGGAAGTATAGATGATGCAGAGATATCGCCACGTGAACGGTAACTACCTGGCGTACTCGATAAAGTTGAAATGCCATTTAGTGAACCCACAATATTACTACCACCACTAGCAGTAATACTGCCTCCAACTATTGGTGCATTCGTTGCGGAACTAGGTGTTGAATTACTTTTTTCATCCTGATGCTCTTTCATCAATTTACATGCTTTTCCCAGTGCGAATATAGTCAGGCAAATTCTCACCCCAAATGCAAACAAGTAGGCTAATCCGAAAAGTATCCAAGCGGCAACATTATTAAACGATACTGCCGAATATATTGCTTTTATAAGCACGACACCAAGAGGAAACGGTATAAAACCCATACGCCGTGCCACTAAGTCTGAATGATCGGAAAAGGCATGCTTTTGACGTGTTTGAGTCATATCATAAGCCAAGCTTGTTGTATATTCACGATAGATTTGTTCTGATATCTCGTTGAAACGCGTAATAAAAGCATGTTTAATCCAATCTATTAGAATCTCAGTTACGAGCACAGCAAAACAGTCGGGGACCATTACATACAACTGATTCATGGTCCAATCAAACTCTTTCAAAGTTTGTATCATAACAATGAAAAGTAAGATCGCCAAGTGGAAGCGTTCTCTCACATCACTACAAGTCAATTGGAAAAGATTATTTTTATCGAACTTCTTGAACACTGATCCCTTAAGTTCGACGAAGTTGTTTGAAATCATAATTGTTAGCAGACCTTTGTTGTTTGAGTTCACAGCTACATTCAATGTGGTTGCCTGAAAAAAATGGTAAGATCAGTCATATATACTCGTAAATATTAGAGCTCAAACATAGAAAAACTGTTTTATATGCCATTTACATACCTGGAACATTATCAAAAAGCTGTGCAGCAAAACATAAATTAGGGCAAAGACAATATGCGGTATCAATCCGAAATGCTCACGTTTCGAATTTTTCGGCTCAGTTGCAGTCCAAAATAATGCATCAATGGTATCCTGTCCAAAAGCCGATAGTAAACGATCTCCTACTTCAATCATATTATAAAATATGTACAGCTTTATTATTGATTGGGATTTAATAATGTGATATATACGATTCGTGTCTACTGAAAGCATTAGAAATGTGCAAGTAATCCATATAGTGCATTTCAACAAATCACAAATTTCCGCCGGTGTCAATAAGCGTTGAGTACGTCTTCGTAAGCCCAAGCAACTGGCAATGGGTCTTGAAAAAAGGCCCCATAATGCCAAAATGAAACGTACCGGAAGAAATGTGTGTATGTAAAGGAATGAATCTGCACATTGTATTATGCCGTATGTTATAAACCGTTCCAAATCGCGCGGTATGCGCATAAATGAATAAATTTTTTGCCGACGAGCTGTATAACGCTCTTCATCGTGTTCTAATATGTAGCCCCGTGTTAATTCAACCTTGAAGAAGTCCATAAATGAGGGCGATGAATCTGTGAATAAAAATACATTAGTGTTGTGTGTCAACAACTTGTTTGCGTCGATCACTACCAACGCCCACTTACCATTTTTCCTGTGCTCTTTGTCCTCATTTTGTTTTGTATTAGTTCCTTTGGAAAAACTACTATTGTTTCGTTTTGGATCATCATCAAATATATCATCTACACGATTATGAAAGTTTAGCTCGCCGCGAAAACGTAGTTTCTTCGTTGGAGTAACTAGACCGACGTCATCTGTTGCCCGAGACATATTTTGATGATTTTCCTGGACAGTAATAACGTCCGAATTGCTTTTCTTTGCTGACAAATCTTTGTTTTTGTAATGTTTTGTTTTGCTCTTAAATTGTCAAAAGAAACGAAGTGCGTGAAAGTTGAGAATGAAAGACAACGATTAAACAAGTGTTGAGTATCGAACCCATTTACCAACACTGAAAACTACAGTAATCGCATAAATCAGTTCTGCGTAAATTTGAAAATTTGGGTTAAACTTGTTGGCCTTTGAACTTGATATCGAAACGCATACAAACAAAAGCTCTACTTCTAGAAAAGAGGTACAATGACCGTTGTAATTGTGCGGTATCAGCTTGAAACTGTACGTCCTTTTATATGATAAAAAAATATCAGCGTTTAGGCAATTATAGACTCCACAGATCCAATTACTAGCAAGGTACTCTTTGCGGAAACATTAAAAATTCTTTCAAATATCTTTAAACAGTACGAGCTAAACGATTTATTATAAAAAATGTGGGCAACACTACAAAATTGCAGTTCTGGCGTAACAGCTGATTGGCGAAGAACAGACGTGAAGAAAATTAATGTACGGATGGGGTATTTTGACATTTGAAATGTCAAACAGCTATCCTTTGAATTAGATCGATAAAATAATTCGGAAAAGTGGGAGGAAAACTCCGGTTGGAAAAAAATATTGATAAAATATTAAAAAGTCGATTTTAAATAAATGCGCTAATGAAAAGTGTTTGTGTTTCAAAATTTAAGCTACTAAGGTGTATTTAATGCAAAATGGGTGAAACTGCACCGATGACTTTGCCAACCACCCAGGTGGTGGCAAGTACAAGTGCTACCAGCAGAGAAACGATTACGCAGACACAACAGCAACCTCTAAAAGTGAAGGTGCTCATAATTGGTGCAGGCATGGCAGGACTTTCGGCAGCGAATCATTTAATACACAACGGTTGCAATGATTTTCGAATTCTAGAAGCACGTACTCGAATTGGTGGACGTATTATTTCGATACCGCTCAGTTCGCAAAGAGTAAGATTTTATAGTAATTAATATATGTATGTTTGCATGAACGCACACTTGCGACTCATAATAATTCACATTGCTTATGGAGTAGGAAATTATTTAAGCAATTATGTAAGCTCAACAGGGGGCATTTTGACAACGATGTACTTCTATTGTTTTAAATTCATTTTACGCATAATATGTATAACATACAAACAAAATTATATCCGCATTTTCAATTGAAGGCGAAACTCGGTTGCCAAATATCAGCTAGCACTTCCGATAAAAATGTATTTTCGTTCGCGTCTTATGCCCCATTTCGAGTGATCTATTATTAGGACAATTAAAATCTGCTTCCCAGGACAAAATATTTCCTATTCTTGTATGAATTAATATTTTTATAGATATGTTTGTAATGTAGGTATGAATAGATATGATTTGCAATTTTTATAGGTGCGAACATGCGTATATAAATAATTGATATGCCATCACATTTAAAATATGTATGTGTACGCATGCACGTATTCGTATTCCGAAAGTCATTGTTTTTTTTTTTTTTTTAAAGAATGTAAGTAATGAATTATTCACGTATATTATATCAAATCATGATTATAAAGTAGTTTCACGCTAACATATGTATTTGAGTGTTTATGGTATATTATGTTAATTGGTAAATTTTCAAATTGATAAGTAGTAGATAAGTTATAAATGCCACGCTTTGTTGTCCCACCTAAGAACGTGGTATTATTCTCAGTGTTATTCATGAATTACGAAATGGTGCAATGTTTCTACTTATTTACTTTCAAGTGAGCCCACATATTGTTTTATGTAAGCGCTAAATGCCTGCTACCATCACCTTGAACATCTTGTTTGGCAAAGCAACTTTATTTTTTATACAGCATGTATGATTGCATTTGTGTTAACATATAAAAATTGGTAAACAATGTGTTTTTATGAGTACGCCCCTTTTTTCTTGTACTTTACCGGCTGGCGGATGAAAACAAATCGGTGATTCGCTTCAATGCACTTATTGCAATTTCACTTAAAATTGTATAAAACGGAAGTGAAGCGTATCCAAAACAGTGTATTGCATTGTATTGTATAATTAAAAAGAGTTATACATTTTCATTTACATAGAAGGGATTGCTCTCATTAGGATTAGAAAACAAAAAATATCTACCTACATATACATATGTATCTATGTAATATATAAAATTCAATTTGATAAATAGACATGGTGCCATCAATAAATTATCTGTTGAATTTTAAACTAGATTGTGAGAATTATACAAGTTTATATACCAATAAAGCTTTACATCTACATACACATCCCGCAATATAGCTGTTTGTATGACGGCAGTTCCAAGTTATAATTACATATCATTTTGGCGTGACAATCAACTGATTTTATAATATATTCTCACATGAGTTTACCGGTGCGCGAAACAAAAGAATAACTAGCAAAGTAGTGCTTAATTATCACAGTCGCCATCGTTCCCACATCTAATTTGCGAGTTGAAGATTCAATTCAACATAATGACCACCGACACGAAAGAAAAACGTGGAATTTATGGTATTTAAGACAATATCTCTATTCAGTTATGAGAATGTAATTTAATTAATATCAGTTGGATATATGGAGCATATAATAAATATTACATCACCTATAGCTATTCATAGTAATTCTTGAATTTTCCAGGTCGAACTTGGTGCGAACTGGATACATGGTGTTTTGGGTAATCCGATTTTTGAGATTGCCGTACAGCACGGTCTAGTCAGTGTGGTTAACATACCGAAACCACATACGGTAGTTGCCACAACCGAAGATGGAAATCAGGTTCCTTTCAGTATTCTTCAAGAGATCTACGAGGCATACGTTTGCTTTTTACGACGATGTGATGAGTACTTTATGTGTCAATATAGCCCACCGCCGGATATAAATAGCGTTGGTGAGCATATTAATTACGAAATTGAAATTTACCTTAGCTCTGTAACAGACCCGAAGGAAAAACGCTTAAAACAATTGATTTTCAATTGTTTACTCAAGCGTGAAACCTGTATCACTGGCTGCACAAATATGAACGAAGTGGATCTTTTAGAATTAGGTAAGATTATTATTGTCTTAACGTTTAATGCCAATTAATTTATATTTTCTGACTTCATTTATTACCTTCAGGAAGTTACACAGAACTACAAGGTGGAAATATTGTGCCGCCGCAAGGCTATAGTTCCATTCTGCGCCCACTTTCCGTATCTATACCCAAAGAAGCAATCATTACCAAATGTCCGGTAAAGAAAATACATTGGAAACGGAAAAAGACACCTACGGGTTTAGAAACGGTTGATGAGAACTCAGAAGACGATGATGATTCAGATGATACCGAGAAAACCGTTACAGAAGTACCAGTTGCTGGTGTAGTATCAACTGCCACGGCTACTGCCCCTGTACGTGAGAAATCGACTGAATCAGATGAGAACTGTGATTCGAGTGGCAATTTAATTGATGCTCCTGTGCGTGTTGACTGTGAAGACGGACGAACTTTTTATGCTGATCATGTGATATGCACAATACCACTGGGTGTACTGAAGGAAACGCATAAAACTCTCTTCACTCCTGAATTGCCGCACTATAAACAAGAAGCAATTGAAAATTTAATGTTTGGCACAGTTGATAAAATTTACCTTGAATACGATCGACCCTTCATGAGTACCGCCATTTCGGAAATAATGTTATTATGGGATGATGATAAATACGATTTACATCTTTCCGATGAAGAACGTAATTCAAAAGAGTTTTTAAGTAAAAATTGGTACAAGAAAATATATTCATTTGCTAAAGTGTCGGAGACACTACTTCTGGGTTGGGTGTCGGGACGAGAAGCTGATTACATGGAAACATTGTCACATGAAGAAGTAGCTGAAAAATGCACAGAAATATTACGGAAATTCTTGAAAGACCCGTATGTGCCGAAACCTAAACTATGCGTATGGTATGCAAAAACAAAAAAAACAATATTTGTCTTTTGTATATATGTGTGTGTGATTTAATTTTTTATTTTATATTTTTTTAAATTTTATTTAGCACAAGTTGGAAATCACAAACATTTACGCGCGGCGCTTACACTTCGATACCTATTGGAGCAACACAAGAGGATATCGAGCTATTGGCGCAGCCACTTTACGTCAACCCACAAGCGCAAAAGGTGTGTTTATGATTTAATTTATTAATTGAAAACAAAGCGTATGCCGAAAATTTCTACTATTATCATTCAACGCTTATCAGTGTATTTTGCATATGCTATCTAAGAGCGAAAAGACTTCATAATGCTCCATGTGTGCTCTTAGTCATATGTACATACATACTTATATGGTTTTTCTTTAAATTTTGCAATTTTCCTAATAATACAATTATATCCCCATTTTTCCTTCCATTTAGCCCGCAGTGTTGTTCGCAGGTGAGCATACACACTCAAATTTCTATTCAACTGTACACGGTGCCTATTTAACTGGTCGAACTGCCGCGCAATATATTCTCTCTGCGGAGGAACCGATCGAAGTCGTTATGGAAGCTGATACCAGCGATTTGAGTTCTTGGATACAAGGCATATCGTTGGAATAAATCTAAAATGAAATTTAAATCCAACACAGCATTCATCACGAGCAGTGGGCAATACAAAGGCAACGAGTACATTCGAGAAAAATAATGAATTGAGTCAGTGAACTTCCATTGAAGTGTGGCTTTGTATTGAACGTTTGCAACTTTTAAGCGACTTAGTAAAACTTTTAAATATTTACTACTTTACAATGTATATGCATATATGTATGCATAGAGTTGCCTTGGTTAATTTAACTTTTGTGATTCTTAATCACAATCAAGATCCTAAGCCTAATAGTCTATAATTTATTTCCGATAACTTTTTTTTTTTTACAAATATTTGAACTTTTAGCAAGTAATCATTATGCTTCGGTACTTTTATAAAGTGCGATATACGTGATATCCATATAAGTTGAGAATATGACGTTAAAAAAATATACATTGCAATATTTTAATGCTTTAATTATTTAAGATGACGATAGACGTAGCAATTAATTTCAAATTTCATGTCAAAATGACGGCAAATTTCGAAATTTTATTCACACATAGTCAAGGCGAATTTAACAAGGTGAAGCTACTATGGCGGCGAAATAAAGTTTTTTCATTATTTTTATGTGATGATTGTCAAATTAATTTTTCCGTGATTTTTACAGCCGCTAAACTGAAGCAAAAACAAAACACTAGGTAATTGTCATAGTTGTCTTGCTGCTCTCACCTTTCTGAATTCGCCTTATGCGTGGCGTTCGCTTATTTCACAATAATTTAACAAAATTTTCTTTGGCTGTACTTAAATCCTTTAAAAGCAATTTTGAGAGAAAAGGGAATTGCTAGTGCAGCACGAGCAATTGTACTTTTAATTATAGTAAAATAATTGTAGATAAATGAGTGCTGTCACACACTGAAATTTTATGAAACTAAATTGCAGAAAATTGCTAGTAGTAGTGGAGTGTATTCCAATTGGAAATTTTCTGACAGCAAAACGCGCGAAGAAAATAAAAATTTTGTGAAAATTGCTACGTCTGACGTTACCATTTCCGAAATTATAAAGATTTAGTTTAATAATTTAAGTTCTATACTAGTTTGTTACAAGTTTAAAGTAGATATTTTTAAATATTTGTAAAAAAAAAAATCAGACATATGTATTTCTCATGCCCTATATTATATTTGTCTTATACCAAAAGCTGTATTTTAACATTATTATGTGTTTTTTTTTTGCATTATTATATAGCATTTATTAATTTATTTTCAATAACACACACACTGTTGTAACTTACTTGCTTTTACTAGCATTAGTTTTCGCTCATAATACATGATGAAAATACTGTTACTAAAATAAGAAAATACATTACTTAAAAACCAATCGAATCAAATTTTGGTTATGACAAATTACACTTAACTAAATTGATTTCACTCAATTGAACGTTATTTATTATAAAAAAAAACACTTTCAACTGTGTAGGTTAATTCAGTTTTAATTATTGAAACTTTATAATAAAATTTGTGTGCAAAAAGCGAAAATCAAAGTAAAATTCCCACTAAAATCATTGTGCATATAACTAATTTATTTATTTATTTCCCCATATAAAAAAAGATTAAACATCTCTCATAATGTCTACATATACGAAAGCGATGATATAGATGTTTACATACTTACATACATACATACATTATGCATATGCATTACAATTGATGACTGCACAAGAATGAATTGTAAAAATATGGTCCCTGTCTGTGCATACATTTTTGATAAATTAGTATTAAAACCTATGTTTTAAGTTGGAAATGAATGGTCAAAGAAAAAATACTGCTTGCAAGTGAACTGAATTTGTTGTTTTAAATTTAATAACAATGTAATTGGCCAATGCATGGGCGTATATCAATTCGCTTAAACTTAAATCAATGCGCATAATGAACATTTTACTCGTATATGTGGAGCTATGTGTGCAATACACGGCGCTAATTATTTTTATTGCAATTTTAATTCGTTATTTATGACGAAACATAAGTTTTGTAATATTCCAAAAAAAAAAAATGGAAAGTTGATTTAAATTGTTTTATTAAACCAAAAAAAAAACAATGTAGCGAAATTTGTATTTGTATTCCCATATTATGCAGAGATAAAAAATTATATATATATTTAGAATACATTAAACGTTTCAACTTACGCCGAAAATATTTATGTTTATGAAAGCTAAAAAAATATATATAATAAACAAATATATATACATTGATTTTTTATTGTAATGTAAAGGATGCTTTAAATGGAATTTCAAAGTACTGCCTAGATCATCGAATCACAGTTTTTTACATATTTTCTTAGTTTATTAGTAAAAGTTCTAAAAAATTTGTGAATTCAGTAAAAAGAGAATTGGCGAGGGAGTTTCAGTTTTTAGCACCTTAGTTCATTGTTGCTGTTTTAACCGCTACTTATTATACAAATTAGTGAAGCGCTAGCCGGCAGCACCTGGGGTAACGATAAAGAAACTTTGCTGGCTACTTACAAAGCAATTGGCCGGCCGGTCGTAAACTATGCTGCTCCGATCTGGACGCCGGGGACGAACGGGACGCAGATGAAGAAGCTACAGGCTTGCTAAAACACCGCCCTCAGGACTGCGACAGGAAACCTCCTGATGTCGCCGGAGCATCACTTGGACAGGGAAGCATCTATGCTACGAGTTAAGGAGCATAATGCTTTGCTGTGCAAGCAGTTCCTACTGGGATGCTACCGCAGGGAGCACCCCAGTAGGCTCTTAATAGAGGCTGAACCTCCACCTAGGCACATCAGGAAGGGAGTACTAGACTTTAAGGACACGATCCAGCAACACACACAACAACCGCATGGACTCCCTTCCAGTGAATGGCGTACTCGGAGAAATACTACCACCCATAGCAGACAACGAGCTCGAGCTGCCTCGAGAGACCCGCGTGACCCTGACACAACTCAGGTCTGGATATTGTAGCAGGTTAAACTCCTACCTATCCAGACTAGACCCCAGCATACCTAACGTATGCCCGGCATATGGAGAGTTCCCCGCAGGACACGACACTAACCACCTCTTCACTTGCTCCCTCAAACCTACTCATCTAACCCCCCTCTCCCTTTGGTCCAACCCCGTCGAAACAGCTCGTTTCCTGGGCCTACCATTAGATGACCTCGACGACTTAGACTAATTAACCCTGTGCCTAAGCGGGGTTAGCGAACCGCTACAACAACAACAACATACAAATTAGTGTTGTTATTGTCATAGCCGTAAAAATATGCCTCAAAGTATTTTTTGGGAGGGAAAAAATCCATGTCCCGATTGTTGCGGGAACTTTTGGGTTTTAGTCGGCTCTTAAGACAGGCATGTCTTGGTCCATTGTAAAAACCCGATGGCCGCGGTAACTATCCGCAGAGTTATCACTATTATTTGTATTTTGTCCTTCCATGTCTAGTGAAAAATCCTCCTCGATAGTATCGATCAGCTATTTTACTCAGTGTTCTAAACCTCTATTTTGATCTAGTAGACTAAATTTTTCGACGGGAACGAACCAAAAAGGTGAATGAATTGGTTTAAGAGGACATACAAAAACTCGTTAGTGTTATGCGTAGAAACATTGCATTGCAAGCGCTGAAGCTGATTAAGTAGTAGTGGAGTATAGGGTACTATCCAAACCTTAGTTGTGCGTTTATTACTAGGGTCTCGCCCGACAGCTCGGCCTATTCGCATGTCATGAGTGATTAAGGCAGAAATTTGCAAAGATGCTCTCTGTAGTGTCATCCTATCTATATAAATAGTGCACAGGGGGCATTACGAGGCTTCTTTTTCTGGTCCTGAAAACAGTGTTCTGTCAAGATTGTAATTCCTTCAGCAGCGTCTCGCTCTTTTCCGTCTAGCGGTTCGAAAATTTTCTTACGGACGTGGGCTTTGTTGATGTTCAGTTGGACGGGAGACGATTTGTTTCGACGAGTTCGAACCAAAGCTAAGCTGTAATGAGAAGACTTATTGCATTCGAAGCACCCCTCGAGTTTGGATATGTACGAGATTAGTGTGCAACAATAGCCTGGTGTTAACTGCGACCGGCAGTTCGATATTTTCGTCTGCAATACGTGACGACCTATAAAATTATTTGACCTATTTGGGAATCAGCAATTCAAAAACTTAACTTTTTGTAGTATAGATATTGATCACCCCCCTTTGTAAGGTAATAAGCGACTTATATGGCTGAGTAAGTACTAGAAGCGTTGACGACATCTGATTAGTCGGCTTGGGTAGTCTTGCGCTCCTTTTAGTCGGCTTTGGAAAAACCAGCTTTGCAGTTTTTCAACTTCGCACTTTCCTTGTGTTTGTACGGACATTCTTTGATAGGCAGAGGCGCGTGCATATCTTCGCTGCGACAAGATAATGTAGTTGTTGTTGTAACCACAAATTATTCCCCGAATTGGTTTTCGGTTAATATTGCGGGAGTGACAGTCCTTGGCCGGACAAAAATCCGGGTCGTTCCGGTATAAAGACCCGACTGTCGCAGGAACTATTGGATTTTAGTCACCTCTTACGACAGGCATGCCTTACCACTGGTAAATTTTTGAGACCCTAACCCGCCGGGGTTACGACAAAAACTATGGAACGACAAGATAATGATCCCAGTCGGTGTTAGGATCTCAGAACGTGCGCACGTCTAAAACACTGAATATGTGTATGTCTTCCGTCTATCATAACATGATCGATGTTTTGTCGTGGAGGCCGACAGTTGAGCCGAAAATATCTTTTTTGTCCACTCTGATGCTGAAGTTGCCAGTCCGACATCAAATTTGCCGCTGTAGCTAAACCACGGTATACCGATTAGATAAATATTTTTTTTATTGAATTTTATAATTTTTCTCAATGTTGTGCTAGTCGTAATTTTCGACTAACGAAGCACCCATCAGGTATACCTACTTCGAGTGCGTTAAGAGAAAAAAAATTGTCTCAATCAAAAAGCTTCGGACTGACTTGAGACTCCCTGAGCCGGGGTTTTTAGAGTCGCTGATTACGAAAACAAACTCTGTTTTTTTTTTTAAATTCAATGATCCAATGTTGCGGGCAAATTTAAAAAAATTATCAAAAACAATTGAAACCCGTTACACAGGCAATGATTTTAAAGTCGTTGTTTGTAAATCTGGTATAAGTTTTCTAGAACTTTTTTAAAAATCATAAAATTCACTTGACACTCAACTAATGTGGAAAAAAAACTCCCAAATCAAAACTTTAAAATTGTAGATGTATTTAAAAAAAAAATCAATCAACCCTGTAGGAATTGTTTATCAATTTTTGATCTTAAAAATTTTAACACACAAGTAAGGCTTTCTCTGCTGGGTAGTAATCCGGCTTCGTTTTGTGGAACCAATACACAAATACAGACAAATAATAAAGCATTTCTGTCTGATGGAGCTGATAGTCAATGGGGAGAAAAGCGTAATGTGAAAGCTACAAAACAAACCACCACACAACCACTCCAAGAACATCGGCTGATAGGCAACCGGTTTTTTTGTGGGGTAAGTTACCGCTGGTCTATTGTCAGTTTGATTTTGTACGCCAGCCGATTTAGTACGTTTGGAACGGACGTGGTCGCGACGTTAACATAAACTCCTCTGCAAATATACATACATATATATTTTTAGCAACTCTTTTGAAAGAGAATTCCGCTAGTTTATTTCAGTTGGATAAATTCATCAAAGTAAAGAATTTCGCGTGAAAATGTCGTACCACAAGCCAGAAGCTAAAGCCATTCAGGAACTAAAAGATATTGCACATCGTTTGCGTATCCATTCCATTACTTCAACTCAAGCATCGAAGTCTGGGTATGTGAACTCTAAATTTTTTTTTTGCATTTTAAACTTAATTAAACGTGAAAGCATTAATTCAATAGAATTTTTTAAGCATTTTTTGCAATTTAAAGAGAGAAAAATTAATAAAAAAATATATTTAATTTTAATTTACACAATTTTTACAAACATATTCATTAGCATATGCATATGTATTGGTTTGTATGTAATTAAATGAGAAATAAGTTTGGCTGGTTTAGCAGCGTTTAAAGTCTGAGAAATAAGAGAGAGATAGAGAGAGAGAGAAGAAATTGTCTGAGCCGAAGGTGACCGGCAAAACCAAACGTTGCAATGAAGCCACGTGTTTCCGTCACAATTGCATATTAAACACACTTCATTTATAACTTTTTGATAACCTATAACTTTCTTTAATTCTTCTAAAAATCCTAAAAAAAACAAAATTCAATGTGAGTTGACCTTTGTTGACATTCATGGAAAGCTAACGTGCCTTATCGGCATCGGCAATCGTGTATCGTGCTCAATAGTTGCATACCACTACATACATACTTGAGTACGAACATATGTATGTACGTTGCGGTTTAACTGAATGTTGAAATTAACGATGAGGTGACACTATGGCGTGAGTTTTTTACATTTATTTTGGAGAGTAAGCTACTAATAACGTTAATAATTATCATTACAGCAGCTTTACCGTAAACAAGAGAGTATCTCATAGCCTCGTAAGAAATTGGAATATTTGATAGTGATACATTTTTTCAAAAGAGTTTTAATTATGGCTGGAACAGAAACTTTTTTATATAAAATAATCTTCATTTAGGCTTTCAGATATTTTCACTTCATTTTAAGGTTTGCTTGTTTGGCTTAAAACTTTAATTACACTACGAAAAGCTGAAATTTTAGCAAGTAAACGAATTAGTAAAATGAAGTAATTTTCGTTATGAAATCAAATTTTAAATGTTTTCGAAAAAAAATATTTGTACTTTTCAAAATACAAAGTAACTTCTTATAACTCGGACACTTTTCAATCTAATTTTTAAATTAAAGGAAAGAAGTACTTGTTCTGAAATTAAATTTGAGTTCAATTTTAAAGGTTTTCGAACAATAATTTTTATTTTTTAAAGTGCAAAACGCTTCTTAATAACGTAGACAATTTTTTTAATTGTAAAAATTTGACAAATTAATTTAAAAATCGTGTTTTTCCGCTTGAATAGCAGAAGGTTCTCAGGTTTGAAATAAATATTTGAGCTATAAACCAGCAACGTAGACTCGTAGCTAGAGTATTGAGGTGCCATCAGACGTGGCGATTTTCCAGGAATTTGTTTCCTTCACGCGTCACTCTCTCAAAAAATTTCAACTTCTACATGTGGCCAGCCTAAAATAAGTTTCAGCAATTTATTTTCAGATAATTATATAAATAAAATTTTCCATATGTTATTACACTCATCTGTCAGTATTTTAATTTTCGTAATTTAATTTCCGAATGTGTTAAATTTTTGAAATTGCTATCGAAGGATTCGAGTATTGTCAAAGTACATTTTTTAAAATTATTGTGAAATTAGCTAATATCCAAAAATTCGTATCTAAATTTCATAATTTTTTTTGGGGAATCAAATTTTGAGATTCGACATAAATTAGTTGCTACGGCTGATGGTATTTTTTGTATTATTTTTTATCAATTTAATTAATTCAATATTCCTGTTTACAAGCTTTTGAATTTCCTATAGGGTAGTCATACATACGTATATGAGCTCATAAGCATTTGTGATTTAGCACAGTGTGAGCGCCTATATACGATTTTTGAAACTCGCACTATTTCTAGAAGGGACTTTTGACCTTAGGAGAGTGATTTCGAGAACTTTTTTTTTTGTTTTTTAATGGTGAAACTAAATATAATATTGAATAGATATTGAAGGCAAGTGAATGTATGCAATTGTACATATGTGCAACTGTTATTCAAGGTGTTTGACTGCTAGTACCATACATATGTACATATGTATGTATGTTTGTACGTTCATATGTATTTGTGTAGTGCAATTAAATCAAAAAATCCAATGCTAAGGGAAATGCCGGCATTACTGTTATAAACACTTTGTTGCTCCACAATCAACAGTTGTAAACTTTAACAACTAAATCTATATGCATACATACGAGTATATATATATATGTATGTATGTATGTATGTATATTCACCTATGTATAAATGTTTGCATATTCATATTTTTTAATTACTTTGTGAGCATTTACTTGCAATTAGCGTATATATTCATAGATGTATATATACATATATGCATTTGTACTTTCTAAATTTATATACATCTGTACATAGCTAAGACATTTGAGGCATTTTGCTTTGGTGCATTGAAATAAGTTCCCAAAGGCTATATGGTAGGGTCCTTTATTTTTATTAATATATTGATTTTAATAATATTTGTCTTCTTATCTATGTTGGTAGTACCGAAATCTTCGTGTTTTAGCAGATTAGATAATTTTTTATGTCCATACTTACACATGTACTATATAAATATGTAATACATATTATATTGATTTCGCTTATCATCGTCATTTGTGACGTGACTTGGGCAATCAACCTGTTGTTGGCCGTGATTGCTGCTCTGCTTGGTATAAAATATACAAATCAAGTGAATTTTTTTGCAAATCTAATGCTTTCTGTGCACGTAATAATTAAAAGAAATAACCAGTTGTTTGATATACTGCAGACATATTATATATATGTATGTACACACCCGAGTATCGGGCAATGCGAAGCGCTCAATACTCCCGAACGAGTGTCGAGTTTATTGCTCAAGTGTTTAAATGTTTGTTTGAATTTTTTAAATTTTTTGTTTTTCAAAATTTCTTTACGATTACCATGAGTTTCACACTCTCTGCATAAAACAATTTCAAATAATGAAAAAAAGTCAAAATTTTGTTCAAAATACAAATTCAAGTTAAATATTTTTTAATCTATTTTTTTTTCTTAATGAAATCTTGTGCAAATCTTCTGAAAAATAACTATTGCAATCGAATTTTATTGCCCTCAGTTTTTTAACACTCTTATAGCTGTTAATTAGCTGCATGCATGCACATTAGGGTGTTCAACGAGAACCTAAGAAAGTCAATGTCAAAAAGCGCAGCTAAGTAATTTTACCGATTTTTTCTTAAAATCTGAACTGAATTTTTTTTATTTTAGTAAAATGTCCTACTAACTTTTTCTCAGCTTTGAGTGCTCAAAGAGTTGATATTTGAATAGATTAACTTAGATCAGTTGATTGCGCATATTATTTTTATTTAAAGTCCTCTATGTATACATATATACATATACCGGCTTACGCAGCTTAAAGTATTGATCGTTGAGATCTGAAACTTAGAGAGTTTGTTCTGCGAACGACGTAGGCATACGATAACAAATGAATTCGAAAAAATCGAATTTGATTTTAAATCATTCGATTTGCATAGGCTGCGCTCTGCCTAAATTGGAGAAATGGGAAAAATGGGGGAAAAAATGTTTCTCCGGGAATCGGACCGCATTTATTTGAAACACTTACTTTAACGATTGGTTGACATTAAGGTGGAATTTTATGCAGATGTAGCTTTGGGCCTAAATTAATTGCGGTGTACTCTCTCTTTCGTGAAGAGAGTCTGGAATTCGTTTCGATGGTACGGTTTTGCTCAAGATATGAAATATAGATGGCTCTTTACCTATGTCAAAATAAATAGATAAATTTTTTTTTCGATACCGAGCTGTCGGAATGTGTCTTATTTATGCTTCGATATTTTTGGAAATATGAAAAATGTCTTACGTTTCAGCATTATAGTTTATAAGTTTTCATAAAATAAATAACGTAAAAAGCAGTGTTCAGAAAACCCGCGCAGCTTTGCTTTGCTCTGGTTTAGTTCTCATTGTAAATTTTTTTTTTCAAAAATAACTGCTTAAAATATTTTTAGAACCATCTGAAAACTCCATGCCGATAAAGTCTTCTGCAAATTCTAGTTGATCATTAGAATTCTTTCCGAAAATTAATAAAAAAATACATATATATGTTTATATCTTTCGTGTAAATTTGGTCCTAAGTTGACTAGTTTATAATAGTGAAATTAAAAAAAAATCATAAATTTTATAAGCAACAGTTATAACTTTTAATTGAGCACCTTAATCTAATATTCTATTCAAATTTTATGTTAATCTCTGCGTCATTTTATCTTCTTGCGAACTTTTACATATATTCAGCACTCAAGTGGCGGACTATGTTTAATTTGAATGAATGAAAATGTAAAATTAAAGTTTATCATCACATACATACTCGTACATATAAATTTTTTTAGGTTGTACGTTAACGAAATTTTAGAGCATTTTTTACGGCCACACAGGAATTAGCCACTTAATCGACAAAGATTATTTCACCAAGCCTAATATCTGCCTGTTAAGATCACAAATTTGAAATAATCTATTTTTGAAATCGATAAAAGAACTTGTGTTTTTTTACTTTCAATATTATATAATATTTTATACATATTTGACCTTCTGTTATCAGCACTTGAGCGGTGATAGCCAAATAATCGAAACTCTCGCACGTCTACTCACGCGTGTTTGCACGCAATGGTCAGTCGTTAATCGGGTGATGAGATGAGATCTTTGCTGTGCATGCCCAAAAGGAATGTAGTAAAGGTATCACCAACTAAATATATTTTAATCAAGACAACCGATTTATTTTAATATTTGACATACATACATATGCATATATGTATATACATATATGTAATACTATATGTGCTTTTTCCATATAATATTGTACTTTCCTTATCACATTTGAAACTGATGATTTTTATTTATTATCGATTTGAGAAAGGAAATAAAAAAAAAATTATTAAAATAATAATTGAGAGCGTTGGGTCAGGGTTTTAAGTAATTTTGGTTTATTCGTAGATGCATTACATATTTGTAATCTTAAGCTCTTTAATGGAGCTTTACCGTTGTCACGTGCTTTTATATTAGTTCTGTTCGGTAACCTGATGGGCAGCGAAAATTTTCACCGATTTTTACTGCAAATTAATAACGAGAGAGCGTAATTTTGACGTTTAATTTGGATGAGAAGTTGCAAATTCCTTCTGGGAGAAATTAGAAAGAATTAAAAACAGCTGATTTGGTACCCTAAAGAAACAGTTTTGTCTAAAGAAACATTTTTGTGTTTAGAATAATAATATTTAATTTAATGGAAACATTATTAATACATTAATATGATGAAAATAAGTGGTTAAATGTAATGGTAGTTAAGGCAAAGATACCCGTCACATCAAAATTTGATAGATTCATGGACGCGCACAAATTTAGTAATGTTGAAGGCGCACTCTTGGACTAGAATTCTTGCGCCACTTCGTCCGCATGGAATTTTAAAATGGTTTAAACAATTCAATTTCTACCATATTTATTTTTATTATAATTTATAAACTTTAAGGCTAAAATGAATGAAAAATAAAGAAGAGTTTTGCCCATATAAATCAAGGCAAAGAACTTTCTGTGCTTCAAATTCTTTCAGATAGATCGGTTCCAAAAAAAAAAAAAATTCTGCATGTAAAAAGTAATCTACATTCCACATATAAACCCTCTAATCGATTCCAGATGCATTTCTCGGTAAAAAAAAGACTTTTCCGTCGTTAATTTGGGCAAAATTCTACCTTTGTACCAATTTTTACATGCCAATGGAATTATAAATACGTTTTTTTTTTTTTTTTTTTTGTTTTTGACAAATAGTTCGACCTCAGCTCCACTTCCCGGTAGTAAAAATATTCATCATATTAATTTAATTCAATCCCAAAGCCATCTCTGTACCAAATCTAATGTAAATTGAACGATAAATAAATTTTTTTCGAATGAATCAATCCCAGGTCTACTTCCCGGAGGAAACATTTTTCCCCACGTCAATTTAAGCAGAGCTCTTTATGTATCAAATTTCATGAAAATGAAATGATTTAAAAATAAATTAGATTTTTTGGACTAGAACGGCCCCAGATATACAACGGATGTCCACTCACGCCAAGTTTCAGGACTTTACGATCAATAGTTTAGTCGAGGGGTTGATCCGTCAGTCGTTTTGGACAAAGCTTTATATATATATATAGATTAGATTCTTAGTTTTACTACAATATAAACTGATTCTGCATACCTTAAATTTACTAAAAAGCTGCGTCGATCAAATCGCTTAACATTGCTTAGCAAAGTTGTTCTTGCTATGGATACAGTGACGAAAATGCATTATTGAGCTTCCGAACGCGACGACGGTGTAAAAAAATTACATATTAGTTGCATTTAAAAAGAAACGTAAAGTTCGCTCTAAATATATATATGTATGTATTAGGTGTACAACTTTGCTTCCGCCGTTTTTTTTTTTCCCCAAAATTAAAAGCTTTATTGCGAAAAAGGGCTTACAGATATATTATTCAAAGTATTGTCCTTCGCTAGCGACAACTTTCTCCCATCTTTCCGGCAATTTTTGGATCCCGGCTCGAAAAATGGAGTCCTCTTTTGACGCTATCCATGAAGCAATCCATTTTTCCAATTCTTCGAAGGATTGAAAATGTTGATCTGCCAGGCCGTGTGCCATCGAACGGAATAGGTGGAAGTCAGAAGGGGCGACATCTGGGGAATACGGCGGGTGGGGCAAGACTTCCCATTTCAGCGTTTCCAGGTACTTTTTGACCACTTTTGCGACGTGAGGCCGAGCATTGTCGTGTTGGAGGATGACTTTGTCATGTCGCTCTTGATATTGTGGCCGCTTTTCTTTTAGCGCGCGACTAAGGCGCATCAGTTGCGTTCGGTAGCGATCTCCTGTGATGGTTTCACCCGGTTTTAAGAGCTCGTAGTAAATCACACCGAGCTGATCCCACCAAATACAAATCATAACCTTGGCGCCGTGAATATTCGTTGAAACCACTCCCGACACGTTCTTTCACTCAGAGCAGCATCACCGTAAGTTTCTGAGAGCATTCGATGCGCTTCAGCTGCATCTTTTTTTTTTCGAATTGTAATAGAAAAGTAAAACTTCCCGCAAATGGCGAGAATTGGGCACATAAACGGACATTTTCGAGCGTGAATAATACGAAAACAAGGACAACTGTCACTGAAACGTCTATGTATTTCAACCAGCCTCAGCCGGTATAACCACCTGTCGGAAAACGGCGGAATCAAAGTTGTACACCTGATACACACACACATATATGCATACAATATTGGCGCTTTGTAACAGCTGATGCCGATTTCCGGCCGAGCTCCTCCTGCAATTTTCATGTCAAAAATACACTCTGAAGGAAGTTGACATTCCCTGTCGAGGGTCGACCGCTATTAGAAAATTTAACTTAATTTTTTAAATAAATAATTTTTCTACAATTTTTGTATTTGGGTACATAAATGTAGGAATCTACTTTAACATTTACATCTTGTTATCTTCAATTTTTTAGTTTTTCTGTTACTGAATTTAAATTTTTTTCATTTTCTGATTCTTATAATTTCAATTTTCAAGCGCGCAAGAAATTATAAATAAATTTTATTAAAAAATAAAAGCTTATATATGTATATAAATATATTTATATATTAGTTTATAAGTCTATAGGCGGATCAGGATCTCCATGAACGGATTCAAATGTACTTGCCAAAACTTTTAATTCTAATCTTAATTTTTACTTAGTCGTGTTCGATGAAAACTCAGTAAATTTTTCTCTTTGGGAGAGTAAAACATCTTACGCTCTCAATTTCGTAACTACTTAAATTTTACCGATATTTCTCACGGAACAAATGATTAAGCATTTTTCAGTTGGGTTAGTGATAAAAAAAAGCTTTCAACCACAATCTTTCACTCACTTTGACCTTCATTAAAACATTTCACTGAAATTATCTTTGCACGCATTTGAATTTTTTAAAAATTTTTTATCTTTCGTTTAACTACAAAACACTCTGAGCAGTTTTATTTACATTAGAATTACTTAAGGCACCATAAAGTGCATTTATAAATATGTATGTATGTATGTACTCCCATGTATCTATAAATATACAAGCTTAAAGCAAAGCAAACTTTTTTGAATAAAATCTTTTTATTAAAAAAAAATAAATAAAAAAATTTCAAGCTTTTGACCGAAACCACAAAAATTGTTTATTTTTAAAAATTCACTTGATAGCGACTTCTGCAACCCCTCGAACTGCATTCATATTTCAATACGAAATTATACATACTCGTACATACATAGTTACAGTTAAATTGAATTTAATTTGTTTCTTATTTAAAGTTATTTATAACGATTTCCTTTTCCACTTTGCAGTCATCCAACATCATGTGCCTCCATCGCCGAAATTATGTCGGTTTTGTTCTTCAACACCCTGCGCTTGAATTTGAAATTCCCACGCGATCCCTCCAGTGATCGTTTCGTGTTGTCCAAAGGCCATTCAGCACCCATTCTGTATGCCGCCTGGGCTGAAGCTGGTCTCTTCCCCATCGAGGATTTGCAAAACCTGCGTAAAATCGACAGTGATCTTGAGGGTCATCCAACACCACGTCTGAACTTCATCGATGTCGGTACGGGTTCGTTGGGTCAAGGTGTTGCTGTTGCCGCTGGTATGGCTTACGTAGGCAAGAACTACGACAAGGCTGACTACAGGTAAATGCTGAGAATTGAGATTTTTATAGATGAATTACTTAGTGACATGTTTTTTCTTCTTCTTCTTTTTTATCCACACAGAACTTATGTTGTTGTTGGTGATGGTGAATCTGCAGAAGGTTCAATTTGGGAATCATTGCACTTTGCTGGTCACTACAAATTGGATAATTTGTGCGTTATCTTCGATGTGAATCGCTTGGGTCAATCTGAGCCAACCTCTTTGCAACATCAAATGGAGGTATATCGCAAACGTTTGGACGCTTTCGGTTTCCATGCTTTGGTTGTCGATGGGCATGATGTTGAGGAGTTGTGCAAGGCTTTCCATGAAGCCGCCACAACTAAGAACAAGCCCACTGCCATTATCGCCAAAACGTACAAGGGCAAATACTTCCCAAATATTGAGGATTTGGAGAACTGGCACGGCAAGCCTTTGGGTGATAAGGCTAATGAGGTGATCAAACACTTGGAGGGTCTTATTGTTAACGGTGCCGTAGCCGGTCCCGTTGCACCCAAGAGTCCAACAAAATTGAAGCAAGCACCAGTTGTCGACATCACTAACGTCAAACTATCGTCACCACCAAACTACAAATTGGGTGAGCAAGTGGCCACACGTTTAGCTTACGGCACTGCTTTGGCCAAGATTGGGCAAAACAATAGCCGCGTCATCGCTTTGGATGGTGATACCAAGAACTCGACATTCTCCGATAAGTTGAAGCATATCTTTCCCGAACGTTACATCGAATGTTTCATTGCCGAGCAGAATCTCGTTGGTGTTGCTATCGGTGCCGCATGCCGTGACCGTACTATTGCTTTCGTTTCTACTTTCGCCACATTCTTTACACGCGCCTTCGATCAAATTCGTATGGGTGCTATTTCACAAACCAACGTCAACTTTGTTGGCTCCCACTGTGGTGTGAGCATCGGTGAGGACGGCCCCTCTCAGATGGGTCTGGAAGATATCGCCATGTTCCGTGCCATCCCTGGCAGCACTGTATTCTACCCCTCCGATGCGGTCAGCTGTGAACGTGCCGTTGAATTGGCAGCCAACACAAAAGGTGTCTGCTTTATTCGTACATCCCGCCCCAATACTGCTGTCATCTATGGCAACGATGACGTCTTAAAAATCGGCAAAGGTAGAATTGTCAAACAGTCACCCAAGGATCAAGTGCTGTTGATCGGCGCCGGTATCACTCTCTACGAGTGCCTTAATGCTGCTGCTGAACTTGAAAAGAGCGGTGTACACGCACGTGTGTTGGATCCATTCACCATCAAACCTTTGGATGCTCAACTCATCATTGAGAATGGTCGCGCTGTTGGTGGTCGCATTGTAGTCGTTGAGGATCACTATCAGCAAGGTGGTTTAGGTGAGGCTGTTCTGAGCGCTTTGGCCGAGCAACGCGACTTTGTTGTTAAGCATCTGTATGTGCCGACAGTGCCACGCTCTGGTCCACCAACTGTACTCATCGATTTGTTTGGCATTTCTGCGCGTCATGTTGTCAATGCAGTTGCTGCAGTACTGAAACTGTAAGCGGCATTTTCATCTTTAGTAATTTAGTAAGGATTTACTAAACAAAAAAAAACCCCAAGAAAGTTGCTGAATGACTTGGCAATGTACTTTGCTTATTTCGTAACTATTTCTAGATATAAGCAGGATCCAAGAAAATGGAAATTTTATGAACGATGTTCAACTATTCTTTTTGTATTGGTTACAATAGATGTTAAATAATAAAATTTCACTTAATAGTAACCCATTTTGATTTAGATTATTTATTAATTTGAAAAGTCCGTTGCTGTTGTTGTTGTACCGGCTAACTAACCCCACTTAGGAGCAGGCTATATTAGTCTATGTCATCGAAGTCATCTAACGGGAGGTCCAGGAAACGGTTGTTTCGCTGTTTCGACGTGTACAGACCAGAGTCAAAGTAGGGCTAGAAGAGTTGATTTTAGTGAGCACGCAAAGAGGTGCGTAGTGGCGTTCGAGGAATCACTGCATGCCGGACATACGTTGGGTATGTCCAGGTCAAATCTGGATAGGTAGGAGTTTAATCTACTACAATAACTAGGTCTAAGGTGCGCCAGTATTACTCTCGAGAACTCGAGGTAGCTCGAGCTCTTCATCTACAATAAGTGGCGGTGGTCTCACTATGAGCACGTCATTCACTGGAAGAAAATTCAGGCGTTTAATGAATGTCGCTAAGTCGTGCTATCCAGCGTTTTTTTTGTATAGATGGTACTGAATGAGCTCCTTCAGGTTAAGTACTGCCGTTCTGATGTGCAAGGGGGTTGGTTCAGGTTTTAGTAAGTGTCGTTGAAGTGTATTCCACGGTAGCAGCAGGAATCGCTTGCAACATCAACATCAGAAGGATTCCTGTTACGATTCTGAGGCCGGTGTTTTGGCTTGTAGCTACTTCATCTGCGTCTTTCTAGTCCTGTGGGACCAGATCGTTCTTTCGCATGTGACTTCCAAAAACTTTGTGTTGATTATAGCCGGAATTTTTAAGCCATCGACTTTCATATAGAGTTCGAGACTATACATTTTGGTCCAGCTGGTGAAGAGGGTAGCCGAGGGTTTTGCTGTCTTGTCTTGCAGTGAAGAAGTGGGAAAGGTCGCTGAGATAGCAGTTCTCACACTTACTGCTGGACACTGCCTGCTACGCTTACACCGCTAAAAACCCAACTAGCTTAACTAAAAGGACTTTATTTAAGTGTGATTTTGTGCTTATTCTCACGGATGCGGTTTTCCATGGCATAACTTTTTCAAATATAAATTTACTGATTTTTCGAAATATGGGGCATTTGTTTACAAATTGAATCTTTACTTTACTTTACAGAAGCGGGCTCATCAATGAAACAGCAATAAATTGTGACAAACATGAGTAAGCGAAAATAAACATTAGCCACTTTATGTATGTACTAGTAGTGTATGTACAAATAAACAAGTAGTTGAGTATTTCTTTTAACAACAGTTCATACAGATATTTATATCTTCATATTTATTATTTTTCATGTTTATCGTTAGTATAAAAATATGCAAAATGTTTATATATGATTTCCTTTACTTAACTTCGTGTGATGAATGCCAACAAATTGTGGTTTGCCATATTTCATTAGGCTACATCAACTTGTATGGACTTTAGCACTAGCTTTTCTGCTTCGTTTAAATGGCTTACAAACATGCCAAAGTGCTCGTTGCTGGAGAAGTTTTGTAAGAATTTCGTTAGATTCTCTTCCATATTCGTTTGGAATAGAGGATTTTTCATAAGTTCTTGCGTTAGCTGATCATCATCGTTAATATCTTCTTCATCCTCATTGAAATACAGGTCGGATATGAAACGTGGTTTGGGTGGTGAGCTGCCAGTTGGTTTATCACCGACCGCAACGCCGGGCGAATCATCCTCATCATCTGAATCATCTTCGCAATCGGCGAGATTAGCTTCTTTCAAATGAGCCAGCTCATTGACGAGTAATTTGAAAATTTTCACCAATGCCGGTATGGTAACCCATTGTTGGGCAGCTGCCGCTTGTGAACGTGTTTTCACGCGTGTACTGTTAGTATCAACAATAACTTGTTCTTTAACAGTGATAGAAGTAAGTCGACTATCCTGTGTGGTAACACCATATTCGAAGAGCTTACACAGCGCCATTGTTGTCACCTAAATCGTATAAGAGTTCATAAATATTTTTGAAAAAAAAAAATAAATAAATTTAAATATGAAAATATCTTACTTTTCGCTCAAATGTGCCAAAGAATGAGGTTTGCTTGGCTAACCAATTGCCAAATACAAATTGCATAGCTGGCTCACCACTAGGTCCGGGTACAGTTGATAGGAAATTCAAGACCGCATCCATTTGTGTTAAAAATAGATGTGCAAATATTACCACCAAACTCATAACCACCTTTAGGCATTCAGCCAATTGCATTTTACTTATAACAGCCTTCAAAAGTAAATCTACATTCTCACCAAGCATATTACCCATTTTAGTTATGATGGTAATAATCAAACGATCAACCTGACCAGCAGTCATTTCGTTATTCATTGGATTTAACAACATGGTCGTTAGCTGCATTATATAGCTAAGACCCTCTCCATTTTTATAAGAGCAAATTTGTTCGGGCGAAACAAATATAAATGCTCTCAAGCACTCACCGCCCGATACCATTACAGCATTATCGTCGGATCGCAGCACGCAGTGCACCATTGCGGGAAATGCGCTATCCACCAGTGCAGATGACAATGGCGGATTTGAATATCGCACAATTGTGGTCAATACATCTAAAGCAATATCTTGTTTGGCGGTATTCGCTTGTTCCCCCTCCAATGAGAGTATGGAAACTAGAGTTGGTATAAATTTTTCCTGTAACGGTTGCAAACACATGGGATTTTGTAGCAGCGCTTTAATTAGATCTTGTACGATTTCTAAAATGTATGGATCTTCGGGATATTTTAGGAACACAGCTATTGTTAATGGTATTAGTTTTGATTGCGCTTGAGCAGCAAATGAAGGATCAAACTGTAAAGAAAGAATTATTTTTAAGATAATTATACATAGAATTTCCAGTACTTTTATGTACATTTCGGCTATGCCGAAAATAATGTTAATAGTCTAGTTTGCGTTCAAATAAACGAGCAGGCAGATATGACTACATCAACTCAGCTCGACATTCTGATGATATGGGTATAAATTTTGATGTTTCTATTTCTAGTCCTTCTTATACTCTTATAGTTCTGACCAAAGTTAATATACCCTTTCATGTCCATTAAAAATTTGCTTAAAAAATTTTACCGTTATTATTGTTGTTAAGCACTCCAAAAGAAGCGTTAAAACCGATGATTTACATCCTGGCATCACATTTAGTATTCCGTCCACAAAACCAGGTAATTTCGCTTGTATTAGTGTACGTTTATCACCTTCTGATTTTTCGTGCGCTTGCACAAATCCATGAATAGCTCTAGAATTGTGGATAATTTTAGCGCTTCGAGTTAACATTCCGAAATCGAAAGTAAATTTACCTGACTGCACTGATCTTTAATATTATAGATTTCTCAGTTGACAAATTTTGCATCGTTGCCACTAAAATTTCCTCCAACATCTGTGGATTATAAAGTTCTGACTTTGAATAAGTGCTCAATGTCCATAACGCTCGCCCAACTAAATGAACCGAGTCTTGATAGTCCAACAAATTGCGTACAAGCGTAAGATAATTTAATAAATCGAATTGGCCCTCAGTCTCAAGTATGAGTGCTCGATATATATGTACTGCCACCATGCAAGCTTCCTGTATTTTCCACCAATTTGGATTGCCAGCCGTTCGTTCAGCCTCTGCTACATTTACGTGACGACCTAGCGCTTCTTGCAGCGCGGGCAATACCTTTGCGCCGAGTTCATCACAAAGTGCCTAAAGCGAAAGTTAGAAAGTTGTTTGTAAAATTATACTAACTAAAAATTCATGCAATGATATTTTTTTTTTTTTTCTTACACTTAAAACATCTTGACCACAAAGCCGAATAGTCAACTCGACACCACCTTCTTCCTCATCATCTACAAATTTTTCAGGGTCGTCGTTCCAATCTTCGATTTGCTCTTCCGGTACTTGTATATAGACAATAACAATATAAATTAAGTCGGTCAAAACACTTTTGATTACGGCGCGGAACTTTCCGGAGCAAATAATGCATTGAATAAATTCGAAGATTTGTATTATCATTGTTGAAAAGTTAGTGAGTTCATCATCGTCCTCTGTTTCTGAGGCTGGAAATGGACTGGGCTCGATTTGGTTCACAGTTACTTTTACAAAAACATCAGCGACCTGCGTAAGTAGCTGCCATATAATTGGTAGAATTCGGTCCATGTAGGGCTGGATATATTTTGGCATCTCGGTTACCAAGAATGTTAGCACTAGGAATATTACATGCACAAATAAAATACACACATTTAGCAATAATAATGTAAAATATACTTACATTTGACTATTTCCGTTCTGAGCAAGAAATTTGAAGTGGAACCACCATTCATTGCCAAATGATGCATTAACTTTTCCATGAAATTATTTAAAATTGAGTTCATCATTGTAGCCTGTTCGTCTTTATCGCCAATATTTATGCTTATGGAGAGGAAGAGTGATTTTAAAATACTTATAGCGGAGGTACGAGTTTTAATGCTGTAGTTTTTCTCAGATTCAAAAATGCGGTATACTTCAGATATAACAACAGGTCCCAATTCTTTTACTTGTTTTTCATCATAAGAAAAATCTTGTAATACTTGCATTGCGCCATGTATGGAATCCTCATTACCACCCAGACATTTAATAATAATATCAAATAGTTCTGTCCAAACAGTTGGCCAATCAGTCATTGCAATTGCAGAAATTGTGTGTGCCACCGATGAACGTATCTTTGAGTTCGGATCGTATAAGCCATTTGGCAAGATATTTCTTATAGTACGTTTGGCTTGCTCTGAGGCAATTTCATCGCCATCACACCAATGAGACTCAACATATCGGGTTAACATAATACACGCAATCTGCCGCAATGGCAAATCGAAGGACTGATTCATAATCAGCTCAGATAAATAAACGCCATAACCTGAATATATATAAAATTTTAAATATATATACACATTTAGTAAGGATTTGCATATATGTTTAACATCGTCACGTACCTTCCGTGTATGCTAGATGCTTGATTTTTTGTTCAGCTGACTGTAAAACAGCGGTATCCGAGCTAAGCAAATTTTGCAACTCTTCGAAGAGCGCTTGTTTCACAGAATCCGAATTTTGAAATGCATGCGACATTTTCGGTGCTTAATTTACCTACACTTCAGTTGCTTTAAAATAACTTTAACACCGACACAAACACAATTAACTGATAATTTAATTGAGAACGGCGTGTATTTTGCATGCGGCGCGAATTCCCCGCCTAGATTGCAGCTGTTTTTCAAATGTCAATTTTTTGCACAGCTTTTGTTGATGCATTGGAATTTTTTCGCGAAAAGGTCACAACCGATGGCAACATTTTTACACGCACAGGGTAACTCAAATGAAATAATTCTGGTTTTTATCGATAATTCAAATAACAACGTTTTGAATTATATTCGAATTAGAAAAAAAAAACGGTATAAATATATTCAGATTTGAGCAGATACAGTGAAAGTGTAGTAGGAGAAAACAATATGAGCGAGGAGGCTCTACAAGTGTGAATAATATATAAAGCGATATAACTAATAAGTCTATTATGTAAGTAAATTAGACTTCCTCTGAACCTCTTTAGGCTAGAAACTCGGTTTAAATGCCATTTTCACCATATCGGGTTGAGCACTTATCGTAACTTAATCGGAAGGTAGCGAAAAATTCGTTTTCACAATGTTCGGTTAAGGCGCATCTGTCAATTAAGTTGCGGTTAACTTAACGCCAACATTGAATGGCGATTAGCTCCAGAAGAGATTTGAACAGCTGGAAATTTGTTATGAGAAATATGATGAGGAAGTTCATATTCGTGGATTTCGTTTTTCTAAAATTAGTGCAAAAAAAAAATTTTTGGAAAAAATAGAAAAAAATAAAAGCTGCACGGAAAGGTTTGTGCATATAACAAGCTCAGAGTAAATAGTAAATTTTGTTGATAATTTATTTGACTTTGCAGGAATCAAGCAGATCACCCCTTTCAGTATTGACATCTAGCCTTCCTCTTCTAATTTTCGTATTTTGCTCTTAAGTTTTTTGGCCTTCTCCGAACTCTCACTTGAACATCAAATTCAACATCAATGTTTTACCAGGCTTCTCGTTTTTCCTCCCAGGCAAAGAACGTATATTAATATAAATATAAAATAATATAATTAAATATAAATATAAATTAAAAAAATTAAATATACGTTCTTTGTTTTTATCCTCAAATTTGCTGCGCCTAACTTGATTATCTCTTTCCTCCATAACACATTCACCTCTTTACGCTCAGCTCAGTGCGCCTAAAGTTATACCTTAAAAATTAAAAACGAATTTATGGTTGTTATCGCATTCACTTCAAAATATGCTTAAGATTCTATACTAAACAAAAAAAAACAGATAAATAGAAATCTGTCTTAGTATATTTTTGATCGACAACTAAGCCAGTTTCTCGTATGGAAAATAAGATTTTCATTTCATGTTTGAAAGAAAAAAAATTTTGTTTAATTAAAAAAAAAAAACACTTTCTTATGATAGTTGGTGTTATAGTCACACTTACGCAAAGGCGTAAACTGCAACACTGAAAACTATGGAAATTTGCAAAAATTGCTGTTTTATAGCTTAACCTTCATCTGCCCTTCACATCAGGAACGGCACCAGACGCATGCGTCTCTTATAATTTTGTGAATATAGGCAACATCCTTTCCTCCCTTCCTTCTTTCAATTTTTGTTAGTTAGAGCGAAGAACGTATATTACGACAGTACGCAATGCTAACCACTCAACTTCCGCGGACGCCAAAATTAAATTATTCGAAAGGTCAACTTTAGACCGCTAGTTTCTGCTCGTTCATCCAGCTCACTCTTTCTATACTCAATTCTGCAAACTACACTAAATCGGTACAGTGCATCGTGATGCGCTACTACGCCGAAGTGTGCCGTGTGTTCATGCTGCAACTACTCATCTCACATACCGACTGTTATAGAAAATACAGACACGAATACGAGTGCGGAACAACCGTCAGTAACGGCATGGGTAAGCGCTGAGAGCTTTTTATTTCCATGGCGCTCGCATAAGATAGGTTGCTATGAAGCATAATGCTGGAACTACTCATCATACTTACCCTCCGTCCATAACACCCGACTGGAAGAGCGATTTGCATACACGAGTTATAGGCGCTACTGACAGCGGCGAAGTGTTGCCAGCTGCCAGTGTGTTGAACAAATTTATAATTTTCGTCAACGAATTTCATATTTTATATGTTTAAATATAAACGCCAATCAAATATTCATGATCTTTATGGTAATATAAATAATTAATTACGAATTTAATTTTAATTTCTTTAAAAAAAAAACTACGCATTTTCCTAGTTTATTTAATAATAGTGTAAAAAAAAGTCAATACTGGCAACCGTGCATAGCAACGCGGAATGAGCTGAGACGGTTTTACGTAAAAAAAAATCAAATGGTCGCTGGTTTATGCGGGACAACCGTCAGTAACGGCATAGGCAAGCGGTGTATTTACATGGCGCTCTCATAAGATAGGTTGCTATGGATGGAAGGTGTGTAAGATGGGTAGTTGCAGCATTATTCACGCGGTCTCTGAGCCAAATTTTATGTACACCGAGCGATTTAAAGATAAATACAATTTTTAGGAGTTGAATAGAATCCCGGACTACCCATGTTAATTTAGGCTGAAAGCTATCTCTGTACCAAATTTTATGTAAATCAAACGTTAAACCTAAATTTTTCATAGATCGGTCCCATGTTCCACTTCCCGGAGGAAATTCTACCAGCTCTGTCGGTTTAGGAAAAGAGATACATCTAAACCAAATTTCGTATTAATCGAACGATGTAAAAATCAATTCGAAGTATTCGAATAGATCGGTCTCAGGATCATGTGCTAGAAAATTCTTTCTTATCGCATGCCTACGTTATACGCAGAGGTCTATACGATCAGTGGTTGATGCTGTGGGTTGATCTGTCAGTTATAAAGGATAAAGCTTTTCGTTGACATACATATATACATAGAAACATTAAAAAAGAAACGCGAATATAATTTATGTATAAATATGTTTAAATTAACAATAATAACACCTTTATTTAACATGTGCTTTTAAGACTACCAACATACCTAACAATTAACATCGTTGACCTGCCAACTTCTAATGCTCTCTTTAAATGTGGATCTGTTAATCTATAAAGCTGTAAAAGCTCTAGAATTGTCTGTGAATTTTCGCCAATACTTCGATTAACCTCTTCCAACACTAGTTCGCCCCCGTCAGTTATACTGTCTGTCAAGGAACTAAACGAAATATCGCTACAGTGACTATCCTCATCCATATCCGCGTAGCCTGTGGAATGGCTATACTCCAGCAACTCCTTCGAAAACCAGTCATCTGAGATGCAAATACTTGAGGCGTCCGCCAAATATCCGCTGGAACAACCCAATGTGTCATTTTCATCTTCATACGCTAGCTCCTGCAGTGAGCTTTCATCAAATTCAAAATTTATTTCATCTCTAAAACTTCCTGTCAAGCTAAAGCATTTTGTTATGTCACTCTCATCCGTCAATATGTAATTGATCAACTGTTGAATATTACAAGTGGATAGGTTATTTAAGATTGTTGTAAGCAAGTTGTCCATTCTTGTTTTCATAAAACTTGTGGTTTGCGTATGTGTGGATCTTGTGTTTAGAAATGTTGGAGAAACGTTGGTATATGCCCTATTTATACTCACAAAGGAGGTTGGTACTTGCCTTTACAAAAAAAAAAAAAAAAAATAATGATTAATCCCTTCCTTTTGTTTTCTACGAAATTTTTAATTTATTTTTTAATTATTTTCTTTTCCTTTTGTTTTTTTTTTGCGTTTAATAAAAATTTGTTGTTTTGAATATTATAAATATATTTCAAGTTCTTTGAGGCTGCTACTCTGCTTTATTTGAATGAAAATATTAATATCATATATCAAAAGCTTGCTGGGTGGTCATTTCCACCAAAAAGCCGTATTAAATAAAGCCTTCAAAATACAACGGAGCATTTAGTTTAATTTTTTATTCCACTCCTCCGTTCGCTTTATTTATTTGTACGTAATTAACATTTGAAACCTTCACGATCTTTTACTGGCGAGAGCTAGAAATTGTGATCATATTGTGAAATTCACGCTGAACTAGAGAAATAATAATAAATTATTATTACTAAGGCCTGAGAAATAGAAGTGTACATGCGGGGATCATAAATCCTTGCATAACTTTAGGCGCTGCTCCATTGAGTGGTATGCGATTGGCGTCAGTTGACTTTTATGGCAATGGTAAATAAAATTTTTTGCAACGAGCTTAGTGCTCAATTTGCATATTTATTGACATTCTTCCCCCCTCCCCTCCTGCTTAGAAAAGGAATATTAGAATTCACTTAAAACTCATTTATCATAAGAAGCGTCCCTTGAGTTGCTTTTATTGCTGTGAGTAGGCTAAGAAAAAAATATGAGACCAACAGCAACGTTTGCCTTTAAGTACACGTGGATATATTTTCCATATAATGTGAAGAGCCTGAAGTCAGAGCTTTGGAGCTAGAATAATAGTAATATAATAACGTTCATCGCATCATATGATCACATTAAGTCACATTAACATATTATCACGTCACATCCCCATATCAGATAACCACAACTCTCAAGACAGCCGGTTCTAAGTATTGGTGTTGAACTGGATTATAGCCGGCCAAGGGCGGTCACCTTTTCGGCAACCTAAGCCCGTTTAGGTCAACAGGTAGCATTAATTTAAGTTCGCCTACGGAGTAACACCTCGCAGCTGGGTTGTTCCAAATTCTTCTTATCAGGACTGGCGTCGAAACCAACCCAGATCCCATCACTTCTCGACCACGGTTAGGTGCAACCAGTGCAATGGTTGGAGTCATATTAAGACCTGCTCAGGTAGTGGAACACAAGTTATGTGGCCCCTTGCTGCCAGCGCCCAAGCGCGCCCTCAGCCTCCACAGCAGTGCCTTCAGCACATTTACCTACTTTTTGTAACCAAGAGACCCCCCAGTTCTAAAGGACCGGACATTCCAGGTAATTAAAATGTTTCATTGGATTTTTTTCTTCATGTGGTAAGTCCCAAACCCTATCCACAACCGCCTGGAATTCGCCTTCTCACCTTAGCTCGCCTCCAAACGGATGTTTGCTGGCTACCCAGGGGACACTTGGTCTAAACCGGAAGTCGTGAGCTGTTTGAACCATATGCAAAAGAATCGTTTCTGGCCACTCCCAGGTGAATGGCATTCAAAAACTTTCCTCACTTGCGTGAACTTCTACACATGTCCCCATCCCCCGGCGGTGAAGAACTGATCAGGTGCATGCATCAGCT